CGACCCAGAGAGGGTCAAAGGCATGTGGTCGTCCATTCGAATGAGTGCCTTCTGTGCGGAGTTTGCCAACGATCCAAATGAAAATGCGAGCAGAGCAGACGTCCTTGTCGTGGGTGCGGGGTTTTCCTGTGAGGGTAAAATAGAATCTAATGATGTTATCCAAGAAAAGGACGGTTCTTTGCTTTTCTATTCAATAGGATCCTCTCTCATGAAGATGAACGCCAGTTCACCCGTCGTTTGCGATATGTCATGGATGGTTTGCCACAGAATGCGAAACGACAGTCCTACATGTACGTTCAGGAAGGGAACGGAATTCCATTTGAGTATGAAACGGTGTTAAAGGACATGGCTACAGTTAGGAGCAAGCTGCCCCAGCCGGCGGAGGAAATTGAAACCTCCTATACCGCAGTGGAGGCAGCACTATGCCTTGAGGGGACGCTGGCGTGGGTGGAGACCGAGAGGGCTTACAGTTCAGTGACCATCACACGCTTTGGAAACAATACGGTGAGAATGACATTCAAAGTCAATACACCGAGATGGACAAGGTCGGGGAAAGGGAGGAGAAGGAATTCCTGAAGGAGTTCCGCAGTTTTGCAAACAAGCACAAAGCTAGCATCGCAGACCTGGTGATGAATCAAGGCGATGGGGCGACAATCACCTCCATTCTGTACCAGATGGAGGCTGCTTCTGGTGCGGAGCTCATGTGTGCTGGTGCCGCGTCGGATATAGTGAGGACGTTACAAGAGGACTTCAGGAGGGAGGATATTGCTAAAGGGATTATCAAGAAGTGGGAACCGGATACAGCCAAGTATACCGAATTTATTGGGAATAACAGTGCAATCGTCAGCGTTGTCAGGAAGGCGAAGCAGTTACTTTGTTGGCTGTGTTACTTATATCAAAACATTAGGGGTGGGGAATCCGTCGCGTCACCACTGAAGCATCTATCCCAACGGATCCCTAATGCAGCAAACCATAGAAAATGGTCTGCGCTCAAAATAGGTGGTGAGTTGCTTCCAAAGCTGTTGGCTCCGATCCGGGGAGAACAGGCGATAAGTTATCTCCACAACCCTGGGAGCCTGCCGTTCTTTACTGGGGCCGAGGTCGTACAGTTAGTATAGGGTCTTTTACAAAAAAGAAAGGGGTAGGGATAGGTAAAATTCAAACACTTGCAGGTCATGATTCCAAACAGTCGTGGAAAACGAGTGGCCTAGGCCCCCCAATTTCTGCGACAGGTCAGATGTCACATATTGAATATCCGCACAACCAAAGAATGGCCAAACAGTCACACAACCAAAGAATGGCCAAACAGTCGCGGAAAAGACCCCTCAATTCCTGAAGACATGCAATC